GACTGACCTATCCCCTCCCTAACTCCCCACCTACACTCACCTTTACTGGCTCCATCCCCGCCTCTTCGACCTGTTTGTTTCCTCTCCACCTATCCTCTCCTCTATCCATCTTCTATCCGCCTCCCACTCTCTCCCTTCCGCTCCCCCATTTCTGATGAAGGGTCTAGGCCCGAAATGTCAGCCTTTCTGCTCCTATGATGCTGCTTGGCCTGCCGTGTTCATCCAACTCTGCATCAATAAAACAGAAGTGGCTTGGGCTGAGAAAGAATGGCCATTCACTCATTTTTCTTTTAAGATGACTGACTTGCAGAGAAAACCAACCAGCATGAAGCCTAGTGGTCAGGTGACTGGCCGAGTAATCCAGTGATGGTGACATTGACAATTTATTGTAGTGGGATTGACTAATGTGTATTCAATATTCTTGGCTATCTGTGGCCTCTCATCAGGTTAGATGACCATGAAACTGCCAGATGTAATAACCCAAACGCTTCGTGAAATACAAACAAATAGTAACGAGGTGACTAATAACCAGCACATAACTAAGAGTTACAGTCCCAATACAGCACTGTGGAGTATGGTGCTCTCTTTCAAGAGACTTTAAAATGAGGTCCTATCCTCCATCATGTGGATGTAATGGTTCCATGTTACTATTTCAGAGAACAGCGTGCAGAAATAACAACTATCCTTCTGCCAAAAATCACTAAGAACAGATTTTCTGGTAATTTAACATACTGATGTTTGTGGGGAGTTGCTGTGTCCAAACTGGTAACAACATTTCCTAAGGTACAACTATTTAAAAAAAAACTGCTGCTTACCTTTCTGAAAGTTGCGTAGCAATCACCACATTGAATTTGAGGAAGAACGTAGGGTCATTTTCAAGCAGTTGTTCAAGGCTCTGAAAGTGTCAAGATTTCATAACTCAGCCAATTCGAGAGACAAAACAGTAATAAACATACAAGATTTAGCCTCAAAATAGGTGTCTTCCCATTATTTTTCCATCACAAAAACTGTTGGCTGCTCGCACAAATTTAACTGGATAACTGATATCCTTCAAAGAAAGGAGCCTGCCTTCCTTCCTTAATCACTGCTGCCTGTGTGACTCCATTCCTCGAGGCAAACCAGGCCAGATAGGAATACTTTAACGTCAAAATCATCCACATCCTGGAAACAGGATAAGATGTTAAATTGAGATCCTATTCTCCTGTACTCTTGATGCTTAGAAGCCCCGGAATGGAGACATTTAGATTTGAGAGCACAACCAATAAGACAACGAAGACTCCATCCTTGGCCCAGCCAGCCACCCCCTACCCAGACGATCACCAGCTGACAGAGCTGACCACAGATTAACTGGTCGGTCATCCAGCAAATGTCCTTTGTAGATTATGTTGTATATTTGCTTGATTAGCTTGGGGAGATCAGTGAGTTTTCAGTAAGTTTGAACAATAAGGTGTTCATACATATTAAGGCACTACATACAGCTTTATTGTAGCATATCTCACTCTGCTGAAGCCACAATGCTTCTCTCCCTCTCTTGGGATCTCTCCCGTCATAGTGGGAGGTGTTGCTCACAATGCTGCAGACATTAAACCTTTCAAAAACCTTATCTGACAGGATGTTATGGGAAAATGACTGACCCATTGTGCACTCAAAGTAATTCATTGCCTTGGAATTTTAAGGAGGTGACCATTCAGTCCGTTATACCTATACTGTTAGTTTACAAAGGAGCTGCCCAGTTAGTCCACATTATTTTTCTCTCAAAACTCCAATTTTCTTTCCTTTTCAAATATTTATCAATTCAATTCCAAAAGCTGCCTTAAAATCCGCTTCCACAGTCCTTGTGCACATTGTATTCTCCATTGTAACAACTGGTTTCTCTTTCCTCATTTTCCTTAGTTCTTAATCTTCAATCTGTGACCTTCAGTAACTGACCCTCCTGCTGGTGGAAGCAGTTTCTTCTTGTATATTGTGTGCAAGAATTTAAGAAATTTACAACATGAACATTAGGAGATAGCTCCTGCCAAACACGATACATGGGTTTATGACGCTGCTTGTCCTGAAATTAAAAACTTTCTTACCTCCTCCATGAAGTTTCCACTGACATCACTATTCAACTCCTGCAGCAGCTCTGTGGCTGCTTGGGCTCGGTTCTGAATGGAAAGAGGAAGAGAAATACAAATCCTTCATTCTATTAACCAACTTCAAAATGAATTCCCTTCCCTAAAAACAATTACAGCACAGAGACAGACCGTTCAACTCAATGGTCCACACCAGTGTTTAAGCTCCACACAATCCTACTCCCACCCCATTTCATCCCTGGCACTGTGCGCTTCTAGTACTTTCTGCTGCAGATGTATATCTTTAGGCTTAACCTCAACCATTCCTTGAGAATTCTGCATTCTCATCACTCCACGCGTAAAAACATTTCTTGTGAATGGAATATAGAAGTAGTGAAATTCTACAGCAGCCTTGGAAAGACCACATCTGGAGTACTGTGTACAGTTTTGATCTCCTTATTTGAAAACAACCTCTGCATCAAAGAATAGATGGTTTGTCACTGTGTGCCCAAGGTAGCAGAATTTGCCAGATGTATCCAGGAGAGCGATATCCAGTGTGATCAGGAGCCGAGGTGCAACTCCTTGTCCTACGACCATGGTTTTCTTTATGTATATTATCAGGAAGAATGCATTACAGGAATGGGAGAGACATGTCCATTTAGGCGGGGCGTGTGGGTGATTAGTGCTGCATCAGCAACAAAGGGGTTCTCTGATCAGGATGTGATGTCTTTGTGACTTTACTTTCAGACTTGAAGTATTGCAGAGCATGTTGTCTGATCTAGGGTGCAAGCAGACTCCTTCCACATCTGCAAAGGTCAGGAGTATGGAGATGATGCCAGACAGATGTAGACAATGCCTCGTGGCACTATCGCTGGACTGTTAATCTGGAGTCCCAGGTAATGTTCTGGGGACCTGGGTTCGACTCCTGCCACGGCAGAAGGTCGGTTTTGAATTCAATAATAATCTGGAAATAAGAGTCTAACGATGACCATCAAACCATTATGGTAAGGAAAAACCCATCTGGTTCACTAATGTCCTTTAGGGAAGGAAATTGCCATCCTTACCTGGTCTGATCCACATGTGACTCCACATTCACAGCAATGTGGTTGACTCTTAACTGCCTTCTGGGCAATTAGGGATGGGAAATAAATGCTGGCCAAGCCAGTGACGTTCACATGCATGGATGAATACAAAAAAAAAACGATACCAGACAGGAATAACTTCTTGGATATATTATCCTAGAAACCTTTTTATTGCACACTGTCCAGTGCCTCCAATCTTTTATTTAATTTGTAGACTAGAACTATGCAAAGCACTCCAAGAGTTGTCCAAACAAAAGTTTAACACAACTTCCCTGCTTTTCAAATCAGTTTCATCAGAAATGAATCCCAGTGTTTTATTTGCCTTTTTAATGTCATATTAGCCCCTCTCATTCTCAGTCTTTTGAAGGCACTGAATCCACTTGTTGTACAGTTACAGCAGGTTTTTTTCACCACATGGCCTGATCTTGGAGAACACTCAGCTGCAGCTGACAGTCTAGAGCACGGCCATACCATCAGCTGGAAACTAGGCCCTCTTCACTGAGTGACAGCGCACATAAGGATTATTGCAGATCATAGCTACAAGAATGTAAAAACAAAATTCAAAGCACTCACCAGTCCAATACTGCTTTTGGTTAGGAAGAAGCTGCAAAGGAATATAATTCAGTGAAAAACTGTGGAGCTCTAACAAAACTGCAATCAATGGGTATAAGGGGGGCAAACTCTCCTTTGGTTGGAGTTATACCTGAAACATAAGAAGATAGTTGTGATTGTTGGGAGGTCAGTCATCTCAGTTCTAGGAGACTGCAGCAGCATTTCCTCAGGGTAGCGTCCTAAGCCCAAACATCTTCAGCCATGACATCAATGTCCTACCCTCCATACTGATCAAATGTGGAAATGTTGCAATGTTTGGCACTATTTGCAATGTTTCAGATATTGATACAGTCATTTCCCACATGCAGCAAGATGTGGACACATTCAGGACACAAGAGGAAGCAAGCACCATTTGCACTGTATAACTGCCAGGTAATGGTCTCCTCCAACAAGAGAGAATCTAGTCGTCGCTCTTTAACATCCAGTAATATTACCCATGCTGAATCTCCCAATGTCAACACCCTAGGGTTACCACTGATCATAAAGTGAATGGAATGGATAAACTCTGCTTATTAATTTCAGCTCATTTAGCCCCATTTTTGGTTCTCTGTGTTCCATGGTCATTCCTTTCTGCCTTGCACCATCAACACTTTTTCCATTTAACCTCTCCTGCCTTCCACCCTATCACAGCTTTTCCATTGTGCTCTTTTCTTCCCTGCCAGGGTTTCCCTTCCTCTATACTTGGCTAAAACCAGTTACCTCTAACCTTTTCCAGCTCTAATGGAAGATCATCCAGTTGAAATATTAATTCTGCTTTCTCTCTTCACAAATACTACCAAATCTGCTGAGTATCTTCAGCATCCTATATGTTTGTCTCAGCCTAATGTAACCACTTAGCTGTTGTAAAGACACATCTGGTTTATTAATGTCCCTGAGGGAAGGAAAGCTGCCAACAGCATCTAGTCTGGCCTATATGTGACTCCAGGCCCACAGTAATGGGGTTAATCCTATCTGCTTTCTGGGCAATTAGAGATGGGCAATGCTGGTTTAGCCAGAGATGCTCACATCCCATGAAGCAATAAAAAGAGATGGTTGAATCATTGATATTTACAATTCTGTTTCTCCATTCTGCACGTTCACTATCTGTTCCTTGCCTTAGTGCCCCATTCTGAGTGAAAGAAAACACTGACCATTTCAGAAACTGTTCTGGGATCACATCACACACCACCCCTCCCTCACACTGCATACAACAAACACAGCTCCAACAGCAATAAGCAGCATGGAAGAAAGACAAACAACCTCACATTTTACACAGCTCAATGGACAAAACATTTCAGGCCAATGGAGTTCAAACAGTAATCACTGAGCTTGAGGAGGAATGGAACAGAAGGTATTAGGAGCAAGGAAACCATAGATTAAAAAGTCAAAACAAGGTGAATAGGTTTAATGCTGAGGAAGGGAGTTCTGGAAGTTTAGTTGAGGAGGAGTCTGGCCTCCACCCACTCAAAAATGACATTTTCAATGTTAAACCGCATATGGACAAAATAAAATGTTCGGCTGTTTAAAAAACTCACTTATTGCCAACATCCTCCCCAGCGACAGTGCTGCCATCTACTATGGTAAAAGATCCAATTCCTAGGGATGAGAATTGTGGAAATAAAAATTACAGATGGATTGGCTGTTATTGATCAGTTTTTTTTTGGCATGGTAAATGCTCGAATCTTACCAGGAAGCACCAGGTTCTTCAGGATTTCAGTTCCAGTGGCACTAGCATTAATCAGACAGACATGAGCAGCCTCCAATGCATCCTGACCATGGTCCCCCCACAGCCTAAGGGAGGAAATACAGGGAGAGCAATTAAACTTCCAACTCTGTTGAAGCAGAGAGATCTTGAGCCAATCCGACTGCTCCCATTTCCTCTCCATGCCATACAAACAGACATGCCAAGTTAAAAATTTGCTCAATTGTTCCTGAAGCCACCACACCACCTACGATTCACAGCCTCCTGCGTAGTTACGCATGATCTCACAAGTGGGAGAAGTGTTTGTTATACAATTGACTTATGTGTAGCTGGGCATAGAAAGTTGTCCTTGTTTAAAAGAACTACCGAATTCAAACTTAGCACAGTAAGTTACTCGAAGATGCAGATGCACAAACAAATAAAATATGACGCTGTACCACATAAAAGGTGAGGTGACCAAAAGTAGTAGATTTTTAAAGTGTCTTAAAGGAGGAAAAGTAGATAATGAGACAGAGATGCAAAGGGAGAGAGGGTATGCCAGAGCATGGGACCAAGTCAACTGAAGATACAGCCACCAATTAGAGTCAGAGATCCATGAGATGGCATAATCAGAAGAAACAAATTTCTCTTCAGGGTTATGGGTCTGGGGATGATTTCAGAGATACAGTAGAGGTGAGGCAATGAAGGGATATCAAAATGAGGAGGAGAATTTTCAAAAGCAGGTGTCAATGTAGCTCAGTGAGCAATGAAGAGGACTTGGTGCAAAGTGTAATATGGGGTCAGTACCCAGAGACTGCTGCTTGTATTGATGGTTTGGGTAGTGATGGAGATGTTATGACATGTATCAAAGTCTCTGGATGACAGGAGAAAAAAAAAGAAAAACCAGAGTTCCCCATTCTCATCAGTTTCTTACAAACGCCCTATTGGACAGCAACCACACCTGACCATCAGGTCAGGACAGGATGGGGTTTGTGTTTGGCTACAACACTTCTGATGGTCCAACAGCCTCCTATAGACATGAACTCATTCTGACTGAGCTACTGACCTGCAGTCAGGATGTCTCCCACCTCCCTCCCAATTCACTGAGCAGCAAAACAGTAAACCCCATCTGCAGTTACATGGC